AAGAAATTTAAAAGTATTCATTTGGTGGCTTTCACAAAATTATTTGGTCTGTAAGGCTCCGTGTGAGATTGATACATGGTGCCATACATTATTCCCATTTTATAGATAAAGCAATATGTGTACTAGTGCGGCTGAGTCACATGCAGGATTTGGGACAGCAGGGTGCTGAATGAGCTCTGATGATTGTAGAGGCCACAATGGGCAGAGTAGATGTAAAACAGTGAGGTAGATCCTCTGATTCTTGGATGTGCCCAGTCATGCATCTTTAATATATAAATTGGATCCTGTGCCTAGAGATTTAGGTTTCTGAGCCAAGGCATGTTCCAATAATGCATGCGAAACTGGCTTTCACAGGCACAGTGGCCCCTCCCTGCTCACTAAGTCCTGAATCATACTGCTACTAGTCAGGTTCATCTCGGATTGAATACAAAGAAGAAGTGGGAGCCTCTTAGACAAGTGATACCTTGAAAAACTAGTTAAGTGATATCATGTGTCTTTGTGACTTGGGACTGTCAAAACTCAATCTAAAAGCACATGGCCTTGCCACTGACTATTTATTGTCTGAAGCAATGATTCTTAATCATTTTTTGGGTCTTGAATTCCTTTGAGAATCTTCTGAAATTTATAGATCCTTTTCCCAGAAGAATACACACATGTGCATGTAACAGAGATTTTGCATTCAGTCTTAGGACCTGCAAGTGTCTATATTAGTGATATATTGGGTGCACAACAAATTGCCCCAAAACTTAAGGCTTAAAACAACAATAAACATGGATTATCTTGCACAGTTTCTGTGGCTCAGGAATTCCATAGCATCTTAACTGGATAGTTGTGGCTCAGGGTCTCCTCCCAGGAGGTTGCAGTCAAGATGTTGCGTGGGGCTGCTGTCATCTGAAGATTTGACTGTTGCTGGAGGATCCACTTCCCAGGTAGCTCAGTCAAATGTGGGCAGGTTAGCATGGCTGACAGCAGGAGGCCTCATGTAGACCTCCCCATGGGGCTGTTTTGTTGTCCTCGTGACATGGCGTTTGGTTTTCTTCAGAGTATGTGATCCATAGCACAAGGTGGAAACCCTGATGTCTTTTTATGACCACGCTTTGGAAGTCACACTGTCATTGCTACATTTGCTATTGGCCACCCAGGTCAGCCCTATTTAGTGCATAGGCCAAGGTGTGTGTGTGTGTGTGTGTATGGGGGGTTACTGCAGAGCTTCCATGCCTTCTCTGGTGCATCACCCTCCCAGCATAACCTGGGAACTCTCTTTACCCTGTAATTTATGGTTTTTATATAGGGTTTCATTACAAGGGCATGATTGATTAAATCATTGCCCATTGGTAATTGAAATCAATCTCCAGTCCCCCTTCTTTCCTGGAGTTCTTTAGGTGGAGCTGAAAGTTCCAACCCTGGAAGCATGGCCACCCCCTCTTTGAAACTAGGGGCCCACCTTGAGTCCCCTTGTTAACATAAACTCTGGTATGGCCAAAAGGGGTTTGTTATGAATAACAAAAGTCACTCCTGTTGTTTAGGAAATTCCAAGGGGTTTAGGTGCTCAGTGCCAGGAACTGGGGACAAGACCAAATAAGTATTTTTTATTTTACTTCAGTAATGAATACAGAAGAAATTTTATACTACAATCATGCATTATTTTTATTTTTGGTTAATTTTTTTTTTCTAGTTATAAAACCTAGTACCTACTCATTGCAGAGGGCTGGGGGAGGGAATAAAGAAAAAAATAAAAATCACTTTCCATCCTATCACCTAGTATTTTCTTCCTAGTCCTTTTTATACACAGTTATATATAACACTTTACTCTCTTTATGTTACAGAAGTGATATTTGCTTATTGCAAAGTAATCCAAAGAGTTAGAATGCCTAAGGTTAAAAAACAGTGATCCTTGTTTGGGAGGTGCCTTCTGTTGTAGGTTGAGAGGGAAGGACAGAAAGGGCCGTGGGTCAGAGGAAGTCTTGGCCATGGGTGGGTACCTGGTTCTGGTTGAAGGCAGCAGAGGTCTACATAGCAGGGGCAGTACCAGAAGGAGATGGAGAAGGTAGGGTATGGAAGGAAAATTAAACTGCCGAGAAGAAAACGTTAATTTTTATTTCTATATTAAGATCGATTTCCTAAGTGCAGCATTATTTTCAGGGGTCAAAGACCCTTTTGTGGGGCGGGAGGGAAATTAAGGAGATATTTAATAAACAGGCACAGCTGAATATGTGTGGTACAATCCAGTATTCATTTATTTGTCAGGGCTGTTTATAAGCTGCTTCTGGCTGGCCTGGACAAATTGTTTTGACCCTACTGCCCTGGCTCATTTGGGCCACTTAACACTTTACCTTTGCGTGCATTTGTGTGCTCATGTGTGTGTGCGTGCTTGCGTGCGTGAGTGCGTGTGTGTGGTATGTTTATGATCTGCTGATCAAGTGCTATTGTAAAGTCTGTAAATAGAATGCACTCTGTTTAAACTCCTTATTGCATCACAATAGCCAGTATCTGATGACCTCAGCAGCTTCTTCCTGCACAGAATACGACCAGAGGAGAATGAAACTTTCTTCCACCATATCACTACAGAGTCTTTGCAGAAGGGAGGAGCTTAAAGCTATTGAGAGCCTTATGTTAGGAAATATTCTTTCATTTGGGCACCTGGCTGACCCCATGTAGGTAGAGATACCTTACAGCAGCAGTTCTTGACCCTGCTATACCTGGTTATAATCACCTGGGGAGCTCTTAAAAATCTTAATGCCCAGCCTGCACCCCAGACCAATTATGTCAGGTGGGGTCCAGGCACTGTTATTTTTTAAAGCTCCCAGGTGATTCCCGTGTGGGTCCAGGGTTGAGAAGTAATCCTTAAAGGAAGATGCTGGTGCACCCTGACCTACCTCCAGCCTTTTTGCAGCAGGTGGGGAGTGGTTGTCGCTGCTCTGTCTTAGAACACTGAAATGCAAAGGGGACCTAAATGTTATGAATGTAGTTAAATTGTTTTCACAATGTTCTGCGTTTCAGTAGTACTGCAGACATTTGATTTACATGTCACCATATGTGTGTATGTATTTTAAATTGTCATAAAAAGAGTACACATAGTCAAAATGTTATACACAAAATTTTAACATACTGAAAATTACTAATTAGTTTTCTTCTTGATGACTTTAAATATAGTAATGAATGTCATCAACCAGAATGTATTAAGTCATGTACTGCTTTGTTCCATTTATTTATTCTTTCCCCCTGCCCGTTTAAAACATTTTTCTGCTTCCGTTGAAGCCAAGATGGGGTTCTGTGTTAAGATTTTGTTTGGGAGAAAAGGTTCTGCATGAATAAAAGTTTGCAAGCCACTGGCCTTTCCTCATAGTGGCTGTTTTTATGTCTGTCATCTGCAGATTAGATCAGCTTGCTTTTGAGGTACAGCCACCACTGAGCTGGGCTGAGAGCTGCATCCCACAGCGTTTGAGCTGTCCCGGCTGTTCACCAGCTGGATCCACTTCAGATAGGTTTACAATGGGGCAGCTGCCATTTCCATTTGGGGGAAAAAAGAGAAGCTTTCATGGGAGTGAGCTGCAGCTGTGGGTGGAGGTGGGTGGCCCAGAGATGGTGCCATTATCAAGAAGTCATTGAAATGTCCTTGAGTGATCATTGGCCAAATCCTGTCCTCTGTGGACCTAGAGCCACAGAGTGTTCCAGCCAGAAGGGGTCCTAGCTAGCAGCTCTTTATTGAGGACTAACTGTGGGGTAGGCCCTTTGCTAGGGGGCTTGGTAGATGTTATCTTATTCAGTCTTCTCAGTAACTCTATGAGGCATGCATTATTATCCCCATCTTGCAGATGAGGAAACTGAGGCTCAGAGAGGTTAAGTAACTTATCCAAGGTTATAGCTAATAAGTGACAAAGCCAGAATTGGAACACATGCTGGTCCTCTGCAGAGTCTTCTTAGAAATCATTTTATAGATGAGAAGATCAAGGTGTGAAGAATAACTTGTCAGACACGATACAGACAGTTCTAATTTGTGGCAAAACTGTAGCTAGAACTCACCTGCTCGTTCTACTGCACTGCCGCACCTGGCTGCTGTTGGGGTGAGGGGAGGGCATGGGGTGTGCCCTCCCACCTTCTGAGTGGCTCAGGCACAATCAGTGTCATGTTGGCATGGAATGAGAAATTAGACTCACCATATTTTATCTCTGCCCCCGTCTGCAAGGAGCTGCCATGGTAAGACAAACAAGGAGGAGGCAGCAGAAGTGACCTTGGAGAACCTTCTCTCAAGTCAGAAGGCAGGGGTCAGTGGGCCAGTAAGAGCTGCAAACTTGAGGGCAGCCTGACTGTCCTTGTTACAGTTCTTGCTGTGCACTGTCAGTTTCCCCTTTTGTCAGTCTGTGGGAATCTGGGCAGTAGGGATCTGCTTCAGCCCTTCACGTTCATATTTGTGTGTGCTCACTTAAAGCAGCAGCAGCCTGCAGGAGCTCAGCTCTCCCTCCGTTTATGCTCCTTAGGATGGTGCTGGGGAGGAGCTACATTGGAAAATGAAGGGTGTAGCACCAAAGGAGTCCAGGACTTTCTCCCCGCAACCTTCTAATCAAGAAAGAAGTGTGTAATTTCAGCCAGATTGCAATATGGTTGCTTTTATTTGTTTTCATGTGAACTTGTGCGAAGGATTCTACTTTTCCTGCTCATTTCATTAAAAGCTTTATAAATAGCACTAATAAGTAGATATAAAACTGTCACATAAATGACAAACAGGGACTAAATGAAATTCCCAAGGGTCAGCTGTTGAGTAAGTTACAAAATCATGTCTTTGCACGATCAAATTCCCATATATGCAAATTAGGGCCAGTGCTTTACCACAGAGTGTTTTAATTAATATTTATAAATCACAGAGCACCTCTGAAAGGGCTGGTAAGCTATTTATATTATTATGTCACACAAATAACAAACCCTTTGGAGATTGCTGCCTCTTCTGCATTTTGGTCTGAGAAGTTAAGTGAATATGTTGTGTGTGTGTCTCTCTCCCCTAGGTGTGGCGTCAGCACAGCGGCAGGTCACCGTTCAGGAAGGACCCTTGTATCGCACAGAGGGCTCCCATATCACCATCTGGTGCAATGTGAGTGGCTACAAGGGACCTTCTGAGCAGGATTTCCAGTGGTCCATATACCTGCCCTCTGCCCCGGAGCGTGAGGTGCAGATCGTTAGCACTGTGGACTCCTCCTTCCCTTACGCCATTTACACCCAACGCGTCCGTGGTGGGAAGATCTATGTGGAAAGAGTTCAAGGGAACTCATCCTTGTTGCACATCACGGATCTCCAGGCCCGGGATGCCGGCGAGTACGAGTGCCACACGCCCAACACTGATGGGCCATACTTTGGGAGTTACAGTGCGAAGATGAACCTAGTGGGTAAGGAGGTGCTGTTTTCACATAGCATTGTCTGGTCTGGGTCACTTTTTTTATAAAGCAACTTTGTTTTACACCCTGCATTTGACTTTTTAAAAAACACCCCGAACTCCCCAAACATTTTATAGATCAATGAGTAGCATAAGTGAATAAAATTTCTGTGTTCACTTGTAAGTAATAGAAGGTTGAGGCTGAAAGTTAGAAAAGATGTAATGCAGATGTTAAGAATTTCAGAGGTTAACTAACCCTCTAGCTGGTGCAAGGGGATATGAAAATGTAAGGCAAGGACATTGTGGTTGATGATCTGAGGAAATGAGGAGGATGAGGCATGTGCCACCAGCTGGAAGAGAGGTGGAACCTCTTGGAAAGGACAGGCTCTGGGACACTCGGGATGCTGCTGAGTAGTCAGGAAGCGGGTGTGGCTGTGGGTCCTTGCTCAGACCTGTGGCTCCGTGAGTAAGGAATTGTGAACTGGCTGTCGCCCTTGGTGTTCCTGGAATGAGGTTAGGAAGCATGAGGCAGAGGGAGCGGGAGCTTTCCATGTGTACAGCACTGGCCACAGTGTTGACCAGTGTGAAAGGGTTAACAATGTCAAGGCTGTTCTGTTTTTCTGCCTCAGTCTTCATTTCCAGTTTTTATTAACACGTTAAACAGGGGCCATTGACAGTTCTTTTATTAACGCAAATATTGCCCTTCCTTTACTTTTTTCTTTCTCTAGTAAGTCTGTATCCTAATATCAGACCTTTAAGACCCAATCCTGGGAGGAGTACAGGGAGAAAACACACACTAGTTGTTATTGGGGTGCCCTCCTCAGACAGAGAGGTGGTGGTGTTTAGTCTCCAGACGTAAGGATCAGGGTAAAATTCCTACCAAGGGCCACAGGGGAAATCTCTTCACTTGCCTTAGTCATCCCTGGACCTTGGGTTCTTTCCTGTGTGGACCACTTTGATCAAAGAATTATGTGAAAATTAAACTTATTAAAGATAATGACGATTGTCTCTACCAAAAACATTTTTTTGAAGAATAGCCTTCCTAGAGCAATGTGCTGCTAAAGTAAGTTGGGGAAGGGGAGTTGGTAGAAGGGGAAAAAATGAGGAAGTTGTAAGGAAATGTAAACAGAAAGTTCCAGGAGCCATCTCCATTTGAAGATCAGTCAGAAGTGAAGTTAAAATGTCTCAAAGCAATACCAAAATCAACAATCAATTTTATTTGACCTAAAAAAAAATCATTCTTACATAGTATTTTCAGGGAGTTTGTTTATTATGTAAAACAAAATACAGCCCATATTTTATTTGAGTGTTATTAAAATATCAAATAGGTAAGTGTAAGTGCAAAAAAATGCATTCCAAATCCAAACAGATAACTCTTTCTGTTTACTTGCCACAAGGGTTTGTCTGTGGCCTTAGCCAGTTGCTGAAGGCTGACTCTGTTAGGGACACAGTCACAATGTGCCTGCATGGACTGGGAGCTTAACACACAGTGTGCCTGTGTCGACTGGGAGCTCAGCCCCTGGAGTCTAAGATTCTGTGGCTTTGTGACCATACCCTCTTGGTACATTTCTCTGTTGCAGTGATCCCAGACTCCCTGCAGACCACCGCCATGCCCCAGACCCTGCACAAAGTGGAGCAGGACCCACTGGAGCTCACTTGTGAGGTGGCCACGGAGACATTCCAGCATAGCCACTTGTCTGTGGCCTGGCTCCGGCAGAAAGGTGGTGAGAAGCCTGTGGAGGTCATTTCCCTGAGCCGAGATTTCGTGCTGCACTCCAGCAGCGAATATGCCCAGAGGCAGAACTTGGGGGAGGTGCGGCTGGACAAGCTGGGGAGTACCACCTTCCGCCTCACCATCTTCCACCTGCAGCCCTCCGACCAGGGCGAGTTCTACTGTGAGGCTGCTGAGTGGATCCAGGATCCGGATGGGTCGTGGTATGCCATGACCCGAAAGCGTTCGGAGGGAGCCGTGGTCAACATCCAACCCACTGGTCAGTCTCTCTGAGCCTCTTGTCCCTGTTCTTTATCTGATGGTGAAGGTTGTCAGATGCTGGGAGAGTGTGGGGACTAGGTTTCCATGTGAAGTTAAAGATGACCCTGCCTGCAGCCAGAGGAAGCCGAGGGATGTACAGGACATGGGTCTCCTAAGACCTGATCGTCCAGCAGGTCACAGACAGGTGCTGCACAAACGAATCCTGCTTATTGACATGTTTTCTTTGACCTGCACAGTGTTCTGCATTCTCTTGAATTAGAAATTCATTTTAAAAATTGGGAGATTTCATGGAAATCATTTGTATCTTATGAGTCTGGGCTCCCCCTTCTATGAGCCATAGTTGTGGCCCCCTTCAGTGACATTGCTTTCTTCAGGTACTGATCTGGTTTCATTTGTAGAAGACACCTGAAATAATGAGCTCTCCATCCAAGGTAATAAAGTTATGAACTAGAGAAATTTGGACTTAATTATTTCTTAAAGTAATAATATTTTTGGTGGTATTTTATAATTTCCAAGATGCTTCATCACATATTACTTCACAGTCCCTCAGAAGTGCTATGCAGTAAATAGGTGGTGGGATTCCCGTTTCATAGGTGAGGATACTGAGTGTGGATTGCTTTATGGTGGGGCCCAGAAAGAGTCCTAGGGTGTGTTGATGAGGCCAATTTAGAGAGTTCTGGGTTCCACCATAGATGTTTTCTCAAGTGAAGACCTGGAAAGGGTCCTGGGGAGGTTCGAGTGACGCGTTTAGACGGGGGGAAAGGTGATGGTGGCACGGAGAGCTGAAATCCTCCCTGGCTCCTCTGCTATCTCCCATGACCTCAGACTCCACTGTGCAGGCTCCCAAGCCCACCAGTCTCCACGTCAGGGCTGCCGCCTGTTGCTGGCTGCCTCAGCTGGGCTGGGGGCAGGTTCTCTGGTGGTTCTTGGTCCCCTGGCTTTGGTTGGAGGGTGGCCTTCATGCCGTCACTGAGGTGTGGTAAGTGGCCCGAGAGCCTTTCCTTGTGTTAGTGTTCCCCTCTAGTGAGGGATGTGGTGGTCCTGGCAGTTGAGTGGAGGTGTGGTTTGTGGGAGGTGAGCCAGGGAGTCTCAGTACAGGTGGGTCCCTCTTCAGGACCTGTCCCTGTTGCTGCGCTCAAGTGTCATGGTCTTTACATAGTGCATCTGCCATTCTAGAGCAGTGCTTCAGACACTACAGTACACATTCCTGGGCCTCATCCCAGAAGTCCTGAATCAGAGACTCCTGGGGTGGTCCCTGGGAAGCTGGATTTCTGGCACACTTCCCTGGTGAGTCTTCTGCTGCCTACATTTTATCAAGTACAGCTCTCGAGATAATTGGACAGAAGTGGTTCTCTGGACATCTAGTGGATGCAAGGGCTTTTACCAGAGGGGTTGGGTTCCTGGGCAGGGAGCACTTTGTCTGCTGGAAGACTCAGAACATTGAAGAGCTTCTGGATCTTGCAATATTAAGAAATCTATCAAAAGGGCTTTATTTCATATTTATCCTTTTTTTTTTCCTGGATGGTTTTAAGATCAGCTTCAGAAATCTGGACCAAATTTTGCATCTTAATGCTTTTAAATTAGGTTGCATCAGTTAATCTTCTTTATTTTAATCTTACCAATTTGGAATTAGGACTTTTTGAATTTGTCCTGTGAGTATATTCAGACTGAGCCAGCAAAGGGAAAACTAAATGAAAAAAAAAAAAGTTGATGATTTCACTCTGTGTTCTTCTGCTGTTCAGGCTCAGTGGTTGCATCTCCAACTTTACCCTTCTCTTAGTTCATTTCAATAAACGTTTAGTCAGTCTCTACAGCATTGAAAGTGTGGTGACAGGCATGAGGGGATTCAAAGATGAGTAACACTTGGCCCCTGCACTTAGGGTACTTGCAGACCTGAGAAACAATGGCCAAGTAGAATGTGCTAAGTTCTATGACAGCATTTGTATAGAGTGCTCCAAGAACATAGTAAATATGAAGTGTTCTTGCACACTATAAGTTTTCCCTGAATGGAATAGTTGTTAATGGCAAATCTAAGAAAACTGGTAAGTTGGTGACTTGAGCTGAGTCTTGAAGCTTGAGGAGCCAGCAGGAGGAGATGCATACAGGTACAAAATTGTTTGATATGTTTGGCAAGCTGAGAGAAGTGTCTAATATGACTAGATGTTGAGTTCCATATGTGAGTGGTGGGAGGAGAAGGGAAAAGTAGCCTGAAGTCCCATGTACTGTGATGTGGAGCTTGCACTTGACTCTCTGGACCAAGAATTTTCAAGCTGTTCTTTCTGGAGCCTTAGCAGCCCCTTGGAGGTACCTAGAAACTTTCACATGAGTATGTGTGTTCATATGCGTACCAAGGGGTGCAGGGGGAAGGCAAGTGATGGCCTGAGTAATCCCCCCTTGCTTCAACCAGATGTTTTCTATATTGCTCAGCAAAAGATTTTTGCATGAAGAAAGGAGGTTCCTTTCCCCCATCCCTTCCTAATAAAGTTTGAAACCCCCTGCTGCAGACAGTTGGAGGGGTTGGTGGTGAGAATAGAGATTTCTAAACAGGAGCCCACAGTAGGATCAGGGTTTTAGAAGGAAAAATCCACGGAGGCCACCTGGAGGCTGATTAAAGAGGTTGGGTCTGAAGTCAAGAGACCAGGCAGGAAAGAGCTGATAAGGACAGGGTTAGGTCAGTGCAGCAGCCTGGAAAGAAGGTAGTGGGTGCTGGAGGCAAAAGAAGGAAGAGCAGATGGAAAGAAGAATCCGGCTGACTGGGCCCAGGGACTGGGGCTGAGACTGGGGCCCCAGCGGAGGGAGGGAGAGGAAGGGACAAGAATGAGGACATGCAGAGTTCTGCTTGAAAGTCCTTGTCTTTTCTTTTGGTTTTGTACATTTTAGTCGAGGAGTCCATTCTGCAGCCAAACTCTGATAGAGACACCCGGTATGTGGAACACCCAGTGTGTCACTGGCCACAGGGGTGTGAAGCTCTGTTAGAGACTGAACTGGGAAGTGATGAGGGCCGAGGAAAAGCCCAGGGGTAAGAAGAGGAAAGGGCCAGGAGAACAGCAGCAGTAAGAGGTGGTCAGAGGAGCGGGCTCCAGTGAGAGAGGAGCAGGCGGCCAGGCAAGCAGGGGGAGTGGCAGCAGGGGGGAGGTGTCACGGGACCCACGGGAACAGGGTGGGTCCAGAGAGGCTGAACCTGCCTGAGAAAAGCCTTTGGTGGGGGTGGGGGCTGGGGTAGGGGTAGGGTGGATCACTGGTGGCATTTGCTAGTCAGTGAAGTGTAGGAAGAGGGCCAGAAGCCAAATTTTCAGTGAGCTAAGGAGAGAAGGTATTGGAAAAGGCATAAATCACTTTCTAGAGATTTAATTGACTGGGTATAACCAAAGGCAAATTGCTATTCAGAAAGCGGGTGGTGTGCTGTCAGCCTTGTGTCTTCAGCCTGGGAACGTGAAAGCGTCACCAAGCCACGGGGGCATTCCCACGAGATAAGGAGAGTCTTTAGCTACTGAAAGATGAAAGCCACAGATGCAGTCACAGAAGAAAGCCTGGAGCGCATGGAAATGTCTAAGGTCTAGGACACCCCTTGCAAGTCTCCAGTGGCTTTTATGAGGAAGTGCTTTTTTGTCATTGATGTTGGGTTATACATTACTGCTCATTGTTGACCAGAGAGCCAATATCTGGCAGATACATGGGCACAGTCCCAAATGGGTGTGTTCATCTGGGCAGGTGGTGGCAGAGTAAAATCTGCTTTCAATCCACGTCTCTCAGGACTGGTCTCTTGGGAAGGGGAAGCTGCGGCAGCAGCTGACACATTGGAGGGGAGCCCTGGAGTTGTTCAGTGTAGCTTTCTCTGTTACGAAGTTTGGGCAGTAAAGGAAGGAGTTAGGTCAGTGGAGAGAAGGGGTGTTTGGCCCACGTGGAAAGGGCAGGGGGAGGGAGAGCCTGAAGAACAGGAGGATGTAAAGCCGAGCCCGAGCTGGAGAGGAGGAATGTGCAAGCGGCTAATTTGTGATTCCTGTGTTTTCTCAGGGAAACAGGATTCTCATCTGCTTGAAGAGTGCATGGAATAGGGGATGAATGGGGCAAGGGTCTTGAAGACAGCAGTAAAGCCTTAGAAACACTGGTACAGGCGAGGCAGTCGAGGTTGGAGGCTATGAATCTGCAAGGAATTCAAACATCCATGCAATGTGATTTCCCCCCTCAGTGTTCTCTTTAGAGGAACAGAGCTAGAACTGGAGGGAGGAGGGATTTGGGCAATGGTCACAGCTACAGCCTCCCTGAGCCAGGATTCTGTGATTCCGTTTTCTAGGACACACACTTTTCTCCAACCCTTGACTCATTTTCTTACCCCGCTTCTGCCAAGGGTTCCTATGAGATATGGCAACTGTCTCATGAGATTAACAGTCACTGTGCACCTGTGCATGGAGGGCCATGATGCTGTTGGTTGTTGGCGATGAGCCCTTCTTTAATCACCCCCTCATGCCTCGCTAAACACCCAGCTCTTTGAAGCTGCTTGGGTTCATTGGCCCTTTCAGAAGTCGTCTGGCTTTCAGCAGAAGTTGGTACTTTCCTACTCCAGGTAGTAAACTAGCCAAAAACATTAGTTTTCATTTTTCCTGTGTAATTCTATTAGAGTTTATCTTCCCCATGTGTTATTTCTAGTATTCACATGGAGGTAGGGAGAGTATTTCAATACATTCATCTTTGAGTAGTTATTAGGATTGTCGTCAGCACATAGGCCACTCTGTAATTTTGTCCTATAGTCCTCAGTGGGTAAGACTACAATATCTACTGAAAATATTTGTAATCCTATTGTTTAAATGGAGTTCTGGGTATATGAAGGGTCTTTAAAAAGTTCATGGAAAGATTCGTATTATCTTTTAATTCTATTTTTCCATGAACTTTTTGAAATACCCTCATATACATCAAGCCTAGACCTTTGCAATCTGCCACTTAAGTGATATTAATAGTTCCTTACTCACCTCTGGGGGTCTAATCTAGGGCATCATAAACTTTGAATCGAGCACCATTGGTCGTAACTGGGATACCAAGCTCCTTAGACTATCTGGGACTAGCTGCCCTCGAATTCTCTCTCATATTCAGGGATTTCTCTGGGCCTCAGATAACCTGGGTCTGCGTTGGATTTTTCTCTCTAGAGAAGTGCTGTGGTGGCTGCCCTGTAGTTAGCATTGCAAAGAAGGGTGAGGGTAGTGGGAATTTGATGATGTAGTTTGGTTCGCAGGGGCCCTCATTCACCCAGAATGCATCCTTTTGGTTATTTCTTTTCTCAGACAAAGAGTTCACTGTTCGGCTGGAAACAGACAAGCGGGTGCACACAGTAGGTGAGCAGGTGGAGTTCAGATGCATCCTGGAGGCTCAGAACATTCCTGACCGCTACTTTGCCGTCTCCTGGGCCTTCAACAGCTCACTCATCGCCAGCATGGGACCTAATGCTGTGCCAGTCCTCAACAGCGAATTTGCCCACCGTGAAGCCAAGGGACAGCTTAAAGTGGCCAAAGAGAGTGACAGTATCTTTGTGCTGAAAATCTACCACCTCCGCCAGGAAGATAGTGGGAAATACAACTGTCGTGTGACCGAGCGAGAGAAAACGGTTACTGGGGAATTCATCGACAAGGAGAGCAAGCGTCCCAAGAACATCCCCATCGTAGTCCTCCCCCTCAGTAAGTAGACACATGCTGCTTTCTCCTCTCTTGGTTCATGGTGCAGTCACTAGCATCACTTAGCAGATGTAGGGGCAGAGAGAATATCTGTGGTGGGGAAGAGGGGAGGGTGGGTGGAACTGGAGGATTAAAGCAGAGCTGGGAGAGAAAACCGTTGACCCTCCCTTCCCCCTCCAGCTTGCCTGCCCCACTTAGCAGCCATGGTTAGGCAGAGCGTGGGGTGTGTTGCAGGCTGGAGAGGGGTGTCAGCAGATCCAAACTCTAGCAGCTGTTTGCAAATGCCAGCAGTGCCAGCTTCACTTGAAGGAAGACCAGGAATCCCAGAAAGCTGTTTGTTCCCATGTGGGAATTAAGTCCCAGAAGAAGTGGGTACTTGCCTGTCTTGAAATCTCACTTAAGGAGAGTTGGTCTTTTACGGGAGGATTTTAAATCATAAAGTGCATTATTATTAAGAAGAATATGCTGTCGGGCATTTTCCGATATAAAGGTTGGCATTTTTCTAATTGTTTCTTCCGCATTGAGATTACATTTTTTAAAAAATCAGGGATGGGATCTCTCACGTCTTCCTGGGGCATAGCCTTTTAAAGCTTAGCCGATTTCCACGGCTGCTTCAGTGGGCTCCCTGCCTCCATGTAAGCTGGCGTAGTCTGAGTAGGTAGCAGCCATTGCTGGGAATTCCAGAGACTTCCAGTGTTTGCTCACATGTGTTTAAACATTTATAGTGTCAGAAGGTTCTTACTAATCTCGTTTCTCTCAGAGTTCTGTTTTTAGTAAAAAGAAAAAAACTCATAATGCTCTGATTTTAAACAAGAAAGTAAAGTTTAAAAACTAACCTTTAACCTTTTCTCAGCTGCTCAAACTTTCTTTCTCTTAGCCTTGTAATGATTTTCTTTACATTTTTATTTACACTTTTACATATTTAAATACTTCTCTTCAAGTGCAAAGTAAAAAATAGACACAGGGGTCTTGCCACTCTCTTTTCTCATCAACAGGATTATTTTCTTTCATGCTGATTATTACATTTTTTTTTTTTGTCTTTTTTCGTGACCGGCAACGGATCGCAACCCTCAGTGTTGCGCCCAGACCGGGACCGGCAACGGGATCGCAACCCTCAGTGTTGCGCCCGGACCGGGACTGGCAACGGGATCGCAACCATCGGTGTTGCGCCCGCACCTCGCTCAGCCAGTGAGCGGCCGGTCTGTATGTGGGATCCGAACCCTCGGCAGGAGCGCCACCGTGCTCCCAAGTGGCGCACTGTAGCAGTGCGCCACCAGGCCGGCCCTTATTACATTTTTTTAAAAGCCGTGCACACATACACACCTAATTATCTTCTGTTTCTTAGACTTTTTTCCCCCTGTAATGCCTAGCATGGTGCTTCACATAGAGTAGGTGCTTGCTGAATATTTCTACAGTTGAGATTATTGAATTGAATGCCCACTCTCTTTACTATTTTCCTGTTGGTCTGTGCTTGTCTTAACCACAGACTCTCTACTTTTAAATCTGCAACTAATTCCTCACTGTTTTATAAGGATTGAGTGAAGGGCAGCCACATTGTTTGCTTCCTGTCTTTTGTACTAAGAGATTTCCCCCAACCCCTTCCAAGAACTTGTTTGATGATCTGTGGCCTGCTATATTGCTTTTCCAGCAGATAACTGGGTAGTTAAAGTCCCCCAGCACCACCAGATCCTGTCCCAAGGCCACTTGGGTAAGTCTACGAAAGAACAACAATAATCACATCGGTAATGGTGATAATACCTTGGATTTTCATGGTGCTTTTCCTCCCAAGAGCCCAAAGGGCTTCTGCATATATCATCTCCTTCTCCACTCCTACCTCTCAAATCCCTGTAGAGGTCAATGTTATATCCATCCTGTGAGTGAAGTCAGAGCACCATCCAGGGAAGTGACTGAGCCAGTTACTCAGTAGTGGTTGAGCTTGCATTGCCTTAGAAATATTTGCTTCTAACTCCAAATCCACTGCTCTGCGCTTAGCCAGTGCTACGCCATCAACCTCCTGATTTGAAGTTTCATTTGTGAACATGTACACAGATTCTCATTAGTTCTGTCCTAGTTTTCACTTAGTATGGAGAGTTTTGAATTGTTGGCTGCCTTTTCTCAGACCTGGGAACCCTTGTAAATGGTCCTGGTAGGCAACGCAGCTTCAGTCTGTATTTGCCTTTGCCTCAATGCCAGGATGGCTTTTCTTCTCATAGCTCTACATTCTACCTGTGCAGTTTTTCCAGGCTTGCTCAAGCAACAGAGCAGCAGACAGCAGCCCTTATGATAAAGAAACCAGGACTTACGTAAGAGTCCTTTGGGGTGGCAGTAGGGGATGATCTCCTGCAAGTCATTCTTCCACTTAAGGCAAGCAAAAGGGTGTTTTCCTTGATGTTGAAATTGCCCTTTCAGTCCCTTACTTTGATTTGATAATGGTGGGGATGAGTCTTTAAAGAGGAATATTGTTATTATTAATGATGATGAAAAATAATTACCTCATCTGTTCCTCTTAACGTTGTGACCCTAACAAGTAGGCACTGTTAGTATCTCCATTTTGCACATGAGAAATTGGAGCCTGGGTAGGTGAAGTAAGGACCCCGAGATTACAGAGTTATGAAGTAGTAGACCTGTATTCCAGGCCTGTCTCCAGCTCCATGCTTTTAACCACTAGTGCTATAGATGGTGGCTGTTTGGGAGCCTCATCATCTCCATGGATCGTCTTGGTATGACTCCTGGGGGAGGTGGCTGTCTTAGAAAATTACTATTCCCTGCTTTGTCCAGAGTTTTTTTTTCCACATGAAACAAGCAAACCCAGAATGGGCAGCAGGTAGCAGGCATACTCACTATAACGAGCTAAATGCTGAGGCTCAGTGTTCATCTTCGTCTGTTTCAGCCTGTGGGGGAAATAAAGGGGAGAAAAGATTGATTCAAATGCATTATTATCTGTATGTGCGTTTTCCTTTGGTATTTGGGTGTGTCTCTTAATCTGGCATTTGATTTAATTGATTGTTTTAAAATTGTTGCATGTATTTCACGTGGGTGGTACCCAGAAAATTAGAGCCAAATTAATTATGGTACTTTGTGTTCTTTAATACTTACAGGTCTTTTGAACTCGATATAGATAATTATATAAAATAACATGTGTAATTAAGATAGATTAAGATATCCATGATGTTTATAAAAACAAAAAGTTATTGGGAATGGTAATATCAATCATGATTATGGTGACCTGTTCTTGAAAACCTAGTATGTGTTAGGTGATCTTTATACATTGTCTCATTTACTTTTCAATCTTTTACAATTAAAGGTAGCACTCTACCTCTCATAAAGAAGAAGAAACTGAGGCATGTAGAGTTCAACAATTCCATTGAGTGAGTTCACATAGCAAAGGTTAGATCGAGGCAGGGAAGGGAATAGAATGCTTGTCCCAAACTTTGACTGGCAGAACGTTTCAAGGTAGAGAGGAAGGGAACTCCAGGGCTGAATGTGAGCAGCAGGAGAATGGTGGATGCTCAGCCACTGGCTTTGGTTTGTTCTTCTGTGTCAATGAAAGTATGAAAGCTCACTCCCCATAAACACTGTGGAATGACCATCTGTGTTCCATTATTGTCCACACTCAAGCACATGTTACCTTCCAAATACTTCTAGTCATTTTTTCCCTACTTTCTAATATTGCCCTGAAAGATTTAAAAAGCAACATTATAGACGTTCAGCTTTTGATTGCTGTAGTAACAAATAGTGGGAAGACTGAGGTGAAGTAGGATTTTGGAGTTGTTCAACTTGCTGAAAATCCAAGTTGAAAAGTCCTGAACTCCGGGTGAATAGGTTACCTGATAAATTGATCTATGCCCATTGTATTGTATTTCTTAGGTTGTGAGGCAATCTCAGGTCATAGAACCTCACTATCCTAGTCCTCTGCACATAGCAAAGAGCATCCTAGGTTATCAAATCTAAAAATCACGGGAGCAGTGCCCAGAACCAGCCAGGGCTTGCAACAGCCCGTGTCAGAGTGGGTTTTCTCCCGAGGCTTACTGTACCTGAATATGATTCCATTTGTACCCTTTTTTCTGTTGCCTCTGTGTGTGGGGTGCTGTGGAGACCATAAGCCCCCCAGTGTGGCACTCTCTCCCTCTTCCCAGAGAGCAGCATCTCCGTGGAGGTAGCCAGCAATGCCAGCGTCATCCTGGAAGGTGAGGACCTGCACTTCTCCTGCAGTGTCCGCACGGCAGTCCGGCCACAGGGCCGCTTCTCTGTCATCTGGCAGCTTGTGGACAGGCAGAACCGCCGCAGCAATATCATGTGGCTAGACCGGGATGGCACCGTGCAGCCAGGCTCGTCATACTGGGAGCGCAGCAGCTTCGGGGGCATCCAGATGGAGCAGGTGCAGCCCAACTCATTCAGCCTGGGCATCTTCAACAGCAGGAAGGAGGACGAGGGCCAGTACGAATGCCATGTGACCGAGTGGGTGCGGGCAGTGGATGGCGAGTGGCAGATCGTGGGGGAGCGCCGGGCCAGCACTCCCATCTCCATCACGGCTCTCGGTAAGCGAGCGTCTGGCAGCATTTTGGTGGGACCATTATGGAGGTTGTGCCTGTGTCAAACATCTCTCCCTGAATTTTCTCAGTCAGAGTTCTGGCAGGAACCATCAGCACCTTCCAGAGGGTCTAATTGAAGGGACTTTTTATGGTAGTATAGGCAGGATTGAAGGGACCAACAGTGGATGGTAGGGCCCCTGGGGGTAGCAACAGCTGGGAGCTGTTACCACTCCTTGGGCTTTGTGGTGGGGGGTGGTGTTGTAAGAATTCTGGAGGTTAGTGTGTCCACACAGCAGGAGCAGTGGCCCCAGGAAGAGGGGCAAGGCCACTGCCAAAGCTGGCCTGGAAGAGAGGGAGCGGAGTGGCCGAGCACCACGATGCGTCTCAACATCTCCTGCCCTCCTGCCCAGGAGCGGATCTGCCAGAAAGTGGGCAGGGCAGGGCAGAGAAGAAAATCATCTATCGCGATTTATTTAGCATTTACTATGTTCTGGCTGAGTCTAAGCACTTAAGCTTAACTTTTCCATTGAAATCTCGCCTAGCTAAGAGTTGGGCTCTTCAGTTTTACAAGGAAACTGAGACAGAGACACAATAAATAATTTGCCTGAGGCTACAGCTTTTAAATGACCAACCCAGCTGCACTCAAGAAACCAGCCATCTATCTAAATGTTTTTCAAAGCCTGTGTTTTTATCTCCTCCTCTACAAGGCCCCTACTTAAGAAAGCCATTTCCTCATTAGCATGAAATGAAAAGATACCTGGAGATTTGCTAAAACAAAAGAATATTAGATTAGCTTCTCACAGGGTAGTTAAAGAGGCTCCTATCAACATTTATCTGCCTAATCTAATCAGTATATTACATTTTAAAAGACCAGTCTGCCACTTTGCTGGAAAGGTAACTTGTTATGTCAGGTCTTGTTTATCAGGAGACAGGAGACTGACATCAGCTGTCCTCAGCACTTTATATCCCACCCGGGGACCATGTCACCACTGTCCTCATAGGTAGGGCTGGTGGCGCTTTTGGAGACACACCAGTAAAGATGGCAGCCCCGAGTTGGTTTGCCCACGACATAGTTCTCCATTTTCCCACCCCTCTGAGATTAGAATTACATGTACTTCCTAAAAGCTTAATCCCAAAGATTGACCTGCTTTCTGTAGTAATTACACAGCTCAGATTTCTAGAAACTTCCTGTATAGGCTGTTTCCTGATCAGCTCAGTCCCTGTGTCTGTGCTCCTGTGAAGGTGGGACTTATGGGGAAAGTTCTGGGTGTCCAGCACTGGTGGCTCCTTCCCCTCCTGGGAGGTCAGGAATGTCTGAGCAGTGGTTAGAGTTAGTCAGGATTGTTTCTGCAGAAGTCATCCTATGGTATCAGGTTGTCCCCTGAGTTTTTTCATATTCAGCATATATCTGACGGTTCCCACAGCCAGGGGGTGCTGAGCGGCTCTGCCCTGGGATCCTGGGGCTGGCTGTGCTCACCTGTTCCCACCCCTGAGACACCTCTGGCTAGAGCCAAATGGGGTGGACCAGGGAAGAATGCGAGAGCACCCTGGACTAAAGTTGTCTGAAGTGAACCATAGCACAGGGGAACTGTCATATAGATACAGTTAGGTGCAGATTCCCCCTCAGCAGGGCGGTGACAGTGACAAGGTGTATGCATGAGCTAAGAGACAGGAATGGCCTCAAAATGCACATGGGCCATTATCACCACAGTAGGGGACTTGGGTGCTGTGGTCTGTGACTGTGGCATGTACCTGTGTCAGACCTAGACAGAGCCATTTGCTCTAAGAGGCTCTCTCTCCTGCAGGTGTGAGGCCAGGATTGCTGGTGTGGGTCCTGCTCTTCTGGCAACATGTACTACACCCAGTGCACAAGTGACCATCACAGCCACTTCATGTTTGAGCATGGGCCTCTGCGTCTTAAACTTTCTTACTAAGCATACACACAGACAGCTTATGAAATCCAAATTGAAGATCCAGAGTCTTCAGCAAATTATGCCTACCTAATCCCTGACAACTTCCCCATAGAAAGCCAAGAGATTCATTCTGTGCCTAGTCTTTCACTTACAGATTTTAAAGTACTTTTCTTTATGTCTATTTTGTTTCTTGAACAAAATACGTACAAGGTACTTAAAAATCTCATGGAAAGATTCGTATCATCTTCTAATTCCACTTTTTCCATAAACTTTCTGAAGTACCCTTGTGTTTAACAAAATATAGTGTATACCACGTACCAGGTACTATTCCACATATTTTACAAGTACTGATTCATTTAATCTTCACAAGGACCCATTGTACAGATGGGAAACAGAGGCAGAGAAGAGTTAAGTAACTTGTTTAATGTCACACAGCTAGGAAGTGTCAAAGCTGGGCAGCTGGCTTCAGAGGCTGTGACTTTAGCCACTGTGTTATGCTTCCTATGAGTAAAGCAACTTTAAAAGGCCCCAGGAATCAGGTGCATGCAGGCTTTTAGCCTGACTCTGCCATTTACGAGCAGCTTGATATTGGGCAATTAATTTAACCTCTCTGTGCCTCAGTTTCCACATCTGCGAAAAGGGATGATAAGCTACCTGTTCTGCAAGGTGGTGTTGGCGATTCAGTGAAGTGTGGTGAGAGCAAAGCAGTTGGCACCATGCCTGGCACAGAGATAGTGCTCAATAAGTACTGGCTGCTGGTAGTTTTATGATTATAGTCAATGTCTTAATACTAAATATGTTTCCAGACTGAAGGAACTCTGCGGTACTTTTATTGAGGAGTCAGTATCAGGTATTAGTGATGCTGCCCATTAAGTCAGGAACATTGGGAAGCTCATGGCCACTGAGACTGCAACATCCTGAATTTAATACCGTTGTCCCACCTCACCGGAGGTCCCCTCCTGCTGCGGGTCCCTCACTGCCTCTCTGCCCCCGGATTTCGAGAGGGAAGTGGAAAAGGGATGGAGGCCTTCTCCATCTGCCTCCCTTCTGGGCTGCCAGTGTACCTGTGGGCCAGGAAAGGGAGGTGTCAGGGCTGGGGGATGTGTCAACCTTGCCTGTAACAAAGGAAATGGGCTTGGGAGCTTTTTCCTCCTGTTTTCTTGTGGAATCCCAAGATTTCCAGGAATGGCCCTGCCTACAAGTAACTCTGGTGTTGAATTCTAGAAGAGGATGGAACACAAATCCACATGAGGTTCTCATTGGGAAGGGTTTGGGCTATTAGGGCTCAGAGAGAATTGCTCAGAGAGAAATGGGTCTTTCTGTGGGGTCTCATAAACTGCTGGGTTTGTGCTTCAACATGATACCTAAAGTAGTATTAGTCTGGGTGAAAAGAAAGAGCTCAAAAGAGAGGCCCACTAGTCTTGCTCTGCCAGCAGCCCTGTTGCAGGTGTCATGCTGCCCTGAGATGGCCAGCTGCCACCTCTGGTTGACTCTCTCTGTCTCTCTGCAGAAACGGGCTTTGCAGTCACAGCTGTCTCCCGCACACCGGGAGTGACCTACAGTGACTCCTTTGACTTGCAGTGCATCATCAAACCCCACTACCCGGCCCACGTCCCTGTGTCAGTGACATGGCGGTTCCAGCCAGTGGGCACCGTCGAATTCCATGACCTGGTGACCTTCACCCGGGATGGAGGGGTCCAGTGGGGGGACAGATCCTCTACCTTCCGAACCCGCACTGCCATCGAGAAGGCCGAGTTCAGCAACAATGTCCGCCTAAGCATCAGCCGGGCCAGCGACACAGAGGCGGGCAAGTACCAGTGTGTGGCAGAGCTGTGGCGGAAGAACTACAACAACACCTGGACGCGGCTGGCGGAAAGGACCTCCAACCTGCTGGAGATTAGGGTGCTGCAGCCAGGTGCGTGCTCTGGCCTGAGGGCCTCGCTCACGTGGGACCTGTGGGGTATGTGCTTACAGTGGATGATGAAACCTGGGAGGATGACTGGAAAAGTGTGTATTCAGCCCTTTGCATAGCTGCTTTGTTTTCCAGATCTTTATTTTGAGAAATTTAAAACTGGTAGGAAGTTGCAAGAATTATACAGTGAACACTCTAATTCCCTTTCCTTGATGGCCAATGGTTAACATCTTTCCACATTTGTTTTCTCCTTCTGTGTGTATTTTGTTGGTTTTGAACCAGTTGAGGGTAAGTTGTGGACATCAGGACACTTCCTTCTAGACGCTTCAACACATTGTTCCTAAGAAAAGGACCTTGTCCTGCCCAACTACAACCCCATTATCATACTCTGGGAATTTAACATCAGTATAGTCCTATTATCTACGTTTCCCCAGTAGTCCCGATAATGCCCTTTATAACTTTTTTTTTGCTTCCAAACCATGAACCAATCGGGGATCACACATTGCATTTAACTGTCCTGTCTCTTTAGACTCCTTTAGTCTAAACAATTCCCTAACCTGTGTGTGTGTATGTATGTTAAGACATTGACATTTATGAAGTGTGCAGGCCAATTCTACAGAAAGCTCCGTCTTTTTTCAACCTCATCTGCTATAATCCTTGCAATAATTATGGGCAGTTAGTGAGCATCTGCTTTGCGTTAGGTGCTGAGGGTCAGTTATTCTATTAGAATTTCACAACAACCCCAGGAAAGATTAAGTGACTAGTCTAAGGTCATGTAGCTAGTCAATGGTGGAGCCAAGATTTGAACCCCATCATCTTTCTCCCACACTGTTTCCTTGACCCAGGCCTTGTCCAGGTGTTCTGAGTTTGAGTTATCTTCTGGGCTGAGTCTCTCTCAAAGCAGATGATAAGAATGCACTATTTGGGGAGCATTAGTCAGTGGAGCTTTGCATAAACACTCACCTTCATCAGGCTCTTGCACTAACATGCAGGAGCATATGTACTACTTTTACAGTTTTCCCATGTGTCTCTCCTCATCTCTGCTGGGTAGTTAGCTGGTGGGGGTGGAGCCCAGGCTGTAGGCTCCTGCATTCCTCCTGTTGTCCAGCCCATGCACAGGACAGAACAGGCACCCGTGCAGTGAATGGTGGGGTTTGACTTTGCAAAGACTTTTTTCTGACTTTATGACCCATCTTTGCAAAGATGGCTTGAACGCCTTGCAAAAAGGATTTTTCTGCCCATTAACAGCCATGGTTAGTGCCTGACCTGGTCTGCTAGACCACTTCAGATGGCCACAGTGGTTTTTTCAGCAATGTGAGGTTAAATAACGGTAACATCTGAGTTATCCTTCACCTCTTCTAACCCTATAACAGTCCTGTTCTGTACCAGATTAGGAACAAGTGAGTTGTATAAATGATGAAACTGTTCCTTAGCCAATTAGAGCCTAAACCTGGACTGACAAGATGCTCAGGGAAGAGCCTCTTCTGCTTAAGTGGGTTTTCAGGTTAATGATGGGTTAAGCAGAGACCTCATTTTATGTGAACCCGTGTTGTGGAAAATGCCAAGGTACCCACTTGCCTGCCTTATTGAGTAGAACATTAGGACCGTAATTGCATCTTTTGTTATCTCTGCTGGCCCTCAAGGTCAGTGTTCTGAGCATCAGTGCCCGTCACGTGGCTCTGCCAGCTGTAGAAGGTAGACATGCTGACCCAAGACCTTGCCTGACGTTGCCTTTTTTGAATAAATCCTTCACATTCGCTTGTTTTTGTTACTGCTTGGAATCTAAGACCAGAGTGCCTAAGGGAAGAATATGGAATTAGTTCATTGAAGGTTCTAAGTATTTGAATTCTGATTAATTTATGATGTTACTAAAAGGAGAAAGGGGGGCCGGCCCGGTGGCGCACTGCTACAGTGCGCCGCTTGGGAGCGCGGTGGTGCTCCCGCCGAGGGTTTGGATCCCACATACAGACCGGTTCCCGCTCACTGGCTGAGTGAGGTGCAGGAGCAATACCGAGGGTTGCGATCCTGTTGCTGGTCCCGGTCTGGTACAGGCGTGACACTGAGGGTTGTGATCCGTTGCCGGACACGAAAAAAGACAAAAAGGAAAAAAATAAAATAAAATAAATAAAAGGAGAAAGGGACAAAAATCTATGAAGTAATTCTTGGGTGCCAGGTTTTGTGCTTAGTAATTTACTTATTTTTTTTACACATAAACATCCAACAATCTAATAATGTGGATGTTTGTATCCTCATTTTGCTAATGAGGAAACCAAGGCTCAAAGTGGTTGGGAGCCTTGACGGAGGCAAACCAACTAGATAAGTGGCAAAACTGAGATTTGAACTGAGATTGAAGCCCAGGTCTCTCTGACTTCCGTATGTCAGCACTTTTTATTATACCATGATGTTGCCTTCTGGGCAGAAGTAGCTGGAGAGTTAGGGGACCCTGGATCTGCTCTGAGGACTGTCTTTATGTCTTGTGCATCTTGAGTTGGTTTCTGTTTGTGTTTTCACTGTTAAGTGAGAATGAACACTGGTTGGCATAGGAGACTTACGAGCATCGTTGTACTCAGCTGTTATGAGGCTTCTGTCTTAAAGGTGCACAGTAATGCACTTTCATGGCCCTCTGGAGGCCAGAAAGAGCAAAGGTAGGTGCCTGAGGCCGTGCTGGACTCCCAGAGAGTGGCTGAGGCACCAGGGAGAGTGCATCTCCTTAAGTGTTATTGTCTCTCCTTTATTAAATATTTATGCATTTAGCATTTAATATTTTCCAAGGAGCTTCATGTTCCTTTTTTCTCTTTTTCGTACATACTCTGGTTGGTACTGGTGCTTTTATTTTGGGGAAGTAGAAGTGGAAAAACAAATGAGGGCTGATTATGTGCTGGAGACTACTGGTCACTTAGTGTGTGTCACCTCACTTCATCTTTGCTGCGACCCAAGAAGGAAGGCATTGCTTTTCCATTTTATTAGTGAAGTAATGGAGGCACACAGGTTCTAACTTGCCAAAGCTAGATTAGTGAGTGGGAAAGGTGGGATTTGAACCCAGGTGTGCCTCATTAAAAAGCTATGGGGAGGAGATACCGTGACCTTTGTTTGAGGTCATATAATCAGAAATTATTCTTTCTGCATTCAGTTAATGATGCCATTTACAGAAAAGGTTTCCTCGTAGAGTGCTGATGTGGAGGTGCTTCGGCACTGTGGTACTAGAGTAACAGCACAAGCAGCTAGTATTGATTGAGCATTTCTTCTGTGTCCATCGCCATCCTGAACGCTTTACACATAGTGGCTGATTTAGTTCTTCCTTACTCAGTCCAGGCAGTGCCGTGAGGGGCTACTGTTTCACCCATTTTACAGATGAGAACACTGACACAGATCTTAAATAAATAACCAGTAGTCATAGTAAGTGGCAGAGCCGAGATCCAAATCCAGACAGGCAGTCTAGCTCCAGAGTCCAAGGTCTTCATGTTATTATATTGTGGTATTTTCTAGACAATTATTTGTTTTCCTTCTCAGGAATCCTCTTTGGTACCATGTACTTTCATTTAACGTCTCCTCTCTCTGGCTTAACATCCTTGATTTTATGATCTCCTTTGCAATTCCTTAAATTTGTTTTTTGGAAGTTGGTGTCATAAGGCACTCATAGAGGTTTCTCAAGACAGTTTGCTAATGGCATAGAAGCTTAATCTGTGTCTCTTCTAACTGCTCTGTTTCTTCTAGCTTCTGCCACAAGGTGGCTCTAAGACTTGGGGATTCCAGAGCTCAAAACCAGTGCTGTCCTCTCCTCCTCCTCCTCCTCTCCCTGCATACCTTGGCCCTGGAAACATGAATTCTTAGCCCTGCTCTGGTGTCTTCCATAGAAATGTCCCCTGCTCCTCACCTTTTAAAAGAATATTTTGTTGAATATTCTTATTCTAACAGATTCAAATAGAAACCTGGGGGCTGTTGACTAATTCTTGCTGGTTTGTTTAGCATCAGCCTTCCACTGCTGTAATGTTATTTCTCCCAACAAGGTTCTGTGTGGTCTGTGCCCCAGATAAGTCCCTGCCAGAGCCACCTGCTGATCCTGGCCACATCACAGGTATTTGATTCATCAATATCTCTGGCTGGATGGCTCAATCGACTTGTGGGTCTGTTATCGGCCATTCCATATGCACGCATCCTATTCCTTATGCACATCCCCAAGGAAATCTTCAAGGAATGCCAGCACTTTCATTTTGTTGTTTATTTATCTTAGTCTTACTCCCATCGATAGCATAGTGTGACCCCCAAGGGACATTTTGGCAAGACTTTTAGCCAATTGAACATATTTGATTCTTACTTCTTAATCAGTTCTTTTCTTTTTAAATTGGGAAGCATCTCCTTGCTTCCTTCTGATTTTCTTTAGCTCCAGAAACACCCTCCAATTTCACATCTCTAAATACAGAAGCAATAAGGGAAATGTCAGCACTCATTTTCCAGATGTTTACGACCAGATCTTGGTCTAGCTATTAAATATTGCACATTAAAATCGACAAAGCAATAAACAAGCATCCAGGAGGACAGCCTCCAGTGGTAGAGAGCCGACTTGTCAGTGGGTGCATTCTGCTGGGATTTTACTGATGGGTAGTCAGGATGAATATTTAATACCCTCTGGATGTTGCTAAATCCGTTTTCTTGTTTCTTTTTGCTGACCTGGCAGATTGGATAGCTGAGGGCTATTTCTTTGCCTTCCATGAGCCCAGGGTATGGGAACACTGCCACGCCTTGTCACAGCCCAGGAGGTGACTGGCTGCTCCATGCCTTGGAGGACTGGCCCCTGCTTTCTTTCAGGGGAGCCTGGGGTTCTCCTGCTTCCACCCCTTGTGGCCTCTGCCTGTTGTCTGCACAGAGATAGAATGAGCGTGAGTCCCCAGCCCTCCCCTCATGCCTCAGGCCTCATTGCATGGTGACAACAGGTGCTGCACTGGTTATTGGCATCAAGGAGCAAGGGTCATTCCTCTGAATGCAGACAGGTAAGACAGGGCAGG